TATGAAGTTTCTTCAAAAAATTAAAAAATATAAATACCATACTATCCAGCAATCCTACTTCTGGGTATGCATCCAAGGAAATTGAAATCGGGATCTCTAAGAGATATCTGTACTCTCTTGTTCATTGCAGCATTGTTCACAGTAGCCGAGACTTGGAAACAACCTAAATGTTTGTTGACAATGAATGGGTAAAGGAATTGTGGTATATACATACAATGAAAAATTATTCAGCCTTAAAAAATAAATAAATCTTGCCATTTGTGACAACATGGATGGACATGGAGAATATTATGCTAAGTGAAATAGGCCAGATTCATAAAAAAAAAAAAAATACAGTATGATCTCACTTTTATGTGGAATCTAAAATAGTCAAAGTCACAGAAGCAGAGAGTATGGTGGTGGTTGCCAGAGAAACTGCAAGGTCATGATGGTTAAAAGGAACAAAGTTTCAATTCTGCAAGTTAAATGAGTTCTGAAGATCTCCTAATAGCATAGTGCCTATAGCTAACAATATTGTATTATGTACTTAAAATGTGCTAAGAAGGTAGATCTTATGTTAAATGGAAAGAAATTCTGAGAGGTGATGGACATATTTACGGCCTTGATGGTGGTGATGGTTTCACAGGTGAATATTTCCAAACTCATCGAAATGTATATATCAAATATATACAGCTTTTTATATGTCAATCATACCTCAAGAAAGTAGTTTTTTAAAATGGAAATTATTAAGTTGGAACAGAAAGGAAGGAAGGAAGCCCACCCCCAGATCCCGGTCCCAACACCTGCCAGCCTGTAACTTCTCCAGCTCTGGCAGAACTCGAAGGTTTATTCTCTGGAGAGGGTAAAGACCTCAGGGTCTCTGAGGCACACCAGCTGCCGTGGAGGCAGGGGGAGGCAATAAGATGTGACATAGTAAATATCAAGACACTCCATCACCACCCATTCCTCACCAACACGACTGGACTCCCAGAAAGCAGGCGTACTCCACAAGAGGTGGCTACAACAGTCTTCTCTGGAGATTCTGCCCAGCCCAGGAGGGAAGGCCTAAAGATAGAAATGATGAGTCCATGACATACTGATCTAATTAAAATTATAATGTAACTATTTGGGGAGAAAGAGGGGTTAAAAGTGGTACACATGTATGGTAGGGCTACATGGAGAAATGAGCTAAATTCTCTTCTTCCATACACTATCAATAGATAATGCCCAATCTAAAAAATTGACCATGGAAA